AGGTAAGTACCATAGTGTGGTGGTGAATCCAATGTGTCATCGTTGTGCGTCTAAGTAAAGTTTCGTGGTAATATGTTGTGTTGAGGCGATATTGCCTCATAATTTGAGTAAATTTAACAAATTGCTCTTATTAATTTCAATGTGAATATAAATAACTGAGGCAATAGTTCCTACTTCTAATTATTAAAATAGATAAAGAAATCTCAAACGGGTATACCATTTGTGTTTGCAAGCGTATAAAATGTTCGGTTATATCCAAACTTAGCCCTTCCTTACTTGTTAAGTTTTCTTTATTTCTGTTTATAATTAATATAACTTCTTATGTACTCGTATGTACATCAAAAATCAAATTCTGTATGCTTCTCCAATCTTTTCCATACACTTTTACGCAAACACTTCTTGGATGCATCGCACCCTTGTGTTTGACTCAGAAATCAAAATATGATCATTGTAGAATTTTACAAGATATTAGACCTAAATGTTTATTTACATATAAATGGCCGTTGGCGTTAATGTTTTCACAGATTCATACATACATATATGATATATGTACATACATACATATGTAATTATATGTGGAAACAGTTGAATCCAATACGTTATGTATACGCCCTGCAGTCGGATATGTTCCGGACTCAATCACTTTTTTTGACAATTTCTTGGAACTATGTTTTGCCGGTACCAGTCATCATAGAAAAAAAATAACAATTGTGATTTCAATCATATGGTAAATGGAGTAATGCAAAATATCGTACAAATGATGAACTGCCGTCATGTAAAGACATTGTGACAGATGATGTTTACTCTTTTTCTGTTGAAAGTGTTACTTTTTATCTTATCCACATCAGCCGCGTATATTCCCTTATTATTAACATTATATTCCGTATATTCCCTTTCACAACATTAGTTCTTATCAAAATTATCTTGATTTAACTACAATATTTTCATAATGGAGGTATGACTTTAATCTACAGTAGTCACATTTAAACTGATTTGTCTTCTAAGCCAACAGTTGCTTATATTTGACAACAGTTTTGACTTTGCTACTCATTCTACGGTATTTAAATATATAAAGAAAAATTCTATGAGCATATTTTTTGGTTTCCGCTCTTGATTAATGCTTCGTGTCTATGCCAGAGTACAGGTGGCTTGGAAATTAATCAAGAGCGGATACCAAAAATATGACGCGGCGAATTACTTTCATTCTCGCTATTCTGTTTCTCCTTACACTCTTTGTAATTATTTTTCACTTTTTCTTATAGAATAGGAGATTCGTAAATTACAGCGAATTCGCCTTACTCTTATGGTTTCCAGTACAAATGTCTCTTACTATAAATAATGTGCAATAGCTGAAAATCGGCAAGCTTTCTTTAACTCGCCTCACTTTATTGTTCATATCGTATTAATTCATTCTCTGACAATTTCCATTACTTGTCGTTCTCTTGTTTGTCAAGAGTTAATTGCGAGTTTGATTACTGACAATGTTCTTTGTTAGCTTTTGATTGCAATGACTGCAGAAAGAAATACTTGTAAGTTATTGGTATCTCGGTAAATGATAAAAATCAAGTATTTCTTTATCTTTCAGAGAATCTATTTTCAACGTTGCCAAGCGTGATCTTCGAGTAAGTTATCCATTTTATTTATCGATTCATTTTCCTATCACAAAACAAGTTTCAATTCGCATCAAATTTTAATATAAAATTTAAATGTTTCATAAATAAAACTGGTCAACATCAGTTTATGGCCACCCTCCTAATATAATATCTTATGAAGCCAAGCCAGCATATGTATATTCTTTTTATACGGTAACTTGGTATAGACACTGTATGATTTGACTCCATCTCTCCCATAACTTTTTATGATATAAACCGAGTATACCAAATTCCGTCAGTTCAATTTATATATAATATAAGTACCTATAAAATACAGTTATGATACCATAGTTGTATAAAACTATTACTTTTTAACACTTCTTTCAATCGTGTTATACGAAATACAAAATTTCTATCTACTAAATTTATCGGATAAAAACAACATAAGTCATTAAAAATTAAATATTTTATGATTTTGAGGCATTAGTTTGGGAAATAATATAAAAATATTTATAACAAGTAAGGAGAGCGGAAGTTCGGGTGTAATCGAAAATTTCATACTATTCCAACTTGCAAGGGTCAAAGCCGGCTAAATACCTCCAGGTGTCGGTGAAAGTGTTCAACTTCATTGTTCAACGAAATCGTGAATGGAATCAAATTTGGTATCATATTAACTTATTTTGTAGGTCATAGCCTCCCTTAATTTAAGCATTGGGGGCAAAGAAATGGAAGGGCTGATTGCATTAATTTTGGCCATTGCTCAGGTATATTTGAGAACTTATTTTCAAGTATTCATATAAATATAAACTCATACACTGTTATCAGAAAAACACGCTCTCTTAATGTCACTAAAATAGCTCTTACATTGGCCGATATACATACATATGTGGTATAAAGTCAACTGGGAGTTCGAAAATCTTGATATTAGGTATATGGAGCTAAGGAAGTTTTGACACGATTCCATTTTCTATACGAGGCTATAGTATTATTATAGAAACTTTATTCCCGAATTTCAATTATATATCTCAAAGATTGACCGATACTTTCGGCAAAAAACCAGCCATTCGCATAAGATTAAATACCTTGAGGGCATTATTTGTAAAAAGTTTCATCCGAATTTATCGATTGGGTTATTGATTTGTATACTGGATAGTGAATGAATCATATGTAATTTAAAACTAGTTCGCGTATATACAGACGGACGGACAGACAGACGGACAGACAGCCGGACATGGCTAAATCAATTCAGCTCGTCACGGTGATCATTTATATATATACTTTATATGGTCTCCGACGTTTCCTTCTGGGTGTTACAAACTTCGTGGCAAAATTAATATACCCTTTTCAGGGTATAATTACGCTATATGAGAAGAAGGCGTGCTTGTAATCCAAATGTACCACTTTCACAACGTAACATAGGATCTTCAGGATAATGTTATATACCGAATTTGGTTCAAATCGGTAGAGTAAGTCCCGAGATATGAATTTTTCCCTAAATGTGGACGGTGCAACGCCCAACGTCAAAATTTGATACCGGCTACTATAAAGCTCTCACGTACTATCTCGGGTGTGAAATTTTGTGTCTCTAAAGCATTTAGTTATTGATTTATCGTGCTTTTTGTAACTTCTAATAAAACCATTATATGGAGATAGGGCGGGGTTATAATTAAATTTCATGAACTTTCACAGTGTCGGTAGGGGTTTTTAAAGGATTTGTTCTATGCGAATTTGTGTGCTATAGTTTGAATGGTTTGGGAGAAATGTACATTAAACTTATTAGTGGGCAGGGTCACGCCCACTTTAACACAAAATTGTTCCCGCAGTTGCCCCTTGCTACTGCAATTCCTTGTACTAAAATGCAGTTTTATATCTTATTTTAGTGCTTAGTTATAGCATTTTGTTTCGATTAATTGCATTTGTTGGGCATGGCAGTTGGCCGATTAAGCCCATCTACGAACTCTTCCTTACTTTTTTACCAAGGAACACGTGTATAAAGTTTCATTACGATAACTCAAATTTTACTCAAGTTACAGTTTGCACGGACAGACGGACGGACAGACATTCACCCTGATTTCAACCTGTCTCGTCATCTTGATCATTTATATATAAGTATATATAACCCTACATACATATACATGCATATCTTTTAATGTGATATAAAAAACCGTTTGGAGAACAAAACTACAATATTATATTCTGTAGCAACATGTTGCAAGAGTATAAAATAAATCAGCATGTACAATGTACATCTATGTATATAAAACAAAAATTAAACAAGTAAGGAAAGGCTAAGTTCGGATGTAAGCGAACATTTTATACTCTCGCAAAGTCAAACAGTATACTCGATTGAGATTTCTTTATATATCTTGCTTGGTTTGCATAGTAGAAAGTGAAAGAATCAGATGGAATTTAAAATGGTGTTGTATGGGAAATAGACGTGGTTGTAATCTGATTTCGCCCATTCTCGTACTATAACATAGAACTATGAAAAGAATATAATATACCGAATTTGGTTGAAACCGGTTAAGCAGATGCTAAGATATGGGTTTTACCTAAAAGTGGGCGATGCCACGCCCACTGAATAATTCTGAACGTGATTCCTATTAAGTCATCTCATACCATCCCAAAGATAAAATTTATTGTCCCTGGCGTGTTTAGTGCTTGATTTAGCGTGCTTTAAGTAGTTTTTATTACCGTTATATGGGGACTGTGGCGGTACCCCACCCACTTTAAAAAATATTTTTAAACTACAGATACCCCTCCTGTGATCCTGTATACCAAATAACTGTTTTGTATCTTATTGTGGAGCTTAGTTATGACAGTTTATTTGTTTTCGATTAATGGCGTTTTGTGGGTGGGCAGTAGGCCGATTACGACCATCTGTGATACAACCGTCTTACGGTATCAAAAAACATGTCTACCAAGTTTCATAAAGATATCTCAATTTTTACTCAAGTTACAGCTTACACAGACGAACGGACGGCCGGACAGATAGTCACCCGGATTTCAACTCGTCTCATCATTCTGATCATATATATATTTATAACCCTATATCTAACTCGCAAAGTTTTAGGTGATACAAACAACCGTTAGGTGAATAACAGGTTGCGAGAGTATAAATATTGAACTTACTTTTTGGAGCCTTAGTTGTACGTTATATCTATATCAAATATATTTAGTCATTAAAAATTGCTTTATGTAAAATGTATACAAATTTGATATTTTTCGGACTAGGCCATTTTTAGTCAATTGTAAACTAGTATTTTTGTTGACTTTTATCTTAAGGGACTTTGAAACAAAAAGATAATTCTATACCTTACTATTGTATATACTACGTACTACTGTGAAGGCATAACTAATTGCATATATTTTTAATTATACTAAATAAATCAGTTTTGTTTGAAATATAGTATTTTGAGTAGATTTAACGTCGAAAAGTCTTCCCGCAAAAACAGTTGGCATGACCGTAATGTGCACATGAGCAACTCGTATGCTTATTGAGAGAGCAAAGCGTTGCATAATAAACACTGGTTGGTGCTTATTTGTAGCTCTCTTACTTAAAGCAGCCACAAGTTGCAATTGAGCAGCGCCGCGTCCGCAAGCAAAAGGTAGATTGCGCGCTCGATTGACGTTATCACATCTTCCATATCAGCGACATTGAATGTGAATTGAAAGACGCGCAGCGCTTGATTACACAAAAGTCTGTAGCTCGACTACAAATACTTTTTACACTTTGGGTTGAGAAATAAAAATTTTCAAAGTTTAGAGAAATGAAAGCAGTCAAACGGGAAGTACATACGAAAATTGTCTAAAATTTGTAGACGTTCAATTTGAAACGACTATAGGAATATTTTCGCCTAATCGGCGATTTTAGACGTCAAACAGTAAACTTCCATACAGATATACATATGTACATTCATATGTGTGGAAACAAAGAGTTAAATAGAAAATAATCCAAATTAAGTGTAGCCGTGTGAAAGACCAAAATTAAAAACTAACTTAGTGACAAAATGGTTTGCGTGACAGAGGATGCTTTCGGCACCACAATCAACCCGCTAACGAAGAAGGAAGTGGCAATCAGGCGCTTTACCATCACCAATGACCGTAGGATGTCGATGCAGGTGAGTGGCACAAGAGCAAGCATCTAAAAATTTGTGTAAATTGGCAATGCGAACGCTTTTAGTTGATAACCTTCGGCGCAACAATAACTTCCCTTAAAGTGCCGGACTCGCATGGCATGGTGGACGACATCACGCTCGGCTTCGATAATATCGAAGGTGAGTTTCAGTTCTTGTTACCGTTAAGAGATTGATTCTTTGCATTTTCATCTTTTTACACAGGTTACTTGACCGAGAATAATCCCTACATTGGGTGTTCAGTGGGTCGCGTTTGCAGCCGCGTTGGCAATGGCAACTTTATACTCGATGGGAAAAAGTACGAGGTTACCAAAAATTTCTTGGGAAAACACATGTTGCACGGCGGTACTCATGGCTTTAGCAAGGTCATTTGGGAAGTGGATCAAGTGAGACCGGATGGTGTTGTTTTCAAGTTTACTTCGCCCGATGGTCACGAGGGCTTTCCCGGTGAAGTGGTTGCCACGGCTACTTACACCATTACGGATGATAATTGTATGCGCTTTTGCTTTGAAGCAACCACTAACAAGCCAACACCGGTTAATATGACCAATCACGCATACTTCAATTTGGCGGGACATGTGAGTGAAATATCCATAGAATTATAAAACCTTCAACTATAATATTATATATACATACATATGTACATACACATGTAAATATGTATTTTTAGAACGCAGGCAAGCAGGGTATGGTGGAACATATCGTTAAGATAAAGGCCGATTGTATAACCGATATGGACGAAGAAACGGTGCCGAATGGTCAGTTTATTTGTCTGGAGAACCATCCTTTGGATTTACGTAAGCTGACAAATGTCGGTGAAGGTTTGAGAAAAATATCTAAGATTGCCAAGGGTTACGACCACAATTACGTACTGAAGTACACACCGGGCTGTATCGAGAAGCAAGCGAAGTAAGTATTTAAACAATTCGGTTATGTTTATTATTGAATTAAATTAAGAGTGCATTCATATCATAAGCACTTGAGTGGTTGAGGGAAATCACTGATCATATTGAGCTTGTAATTCCGTGAGTTTGGGGTAAGGTTAATTCGTGCATGCTTTTGTGACGACACTGAAGTTTTTATGAAAAAATGTATAAAAAGATGGCAACAGTAGCAATTACGTAACAGTAACGCATCTCGGGAAAAATGGGATCGTTCGTACCCAAATCAATGTTCATTCGTTAGATAATAGTTTTTCCCAGGTAACGCTGAGGGGTTTTTCGATATTTTAATTATTATTAACACTTTGAAGGTAAAAACTCGATTTTTAGAGAAAATATCGGTGTATTTGTTATTGCTGAAAAAAATTCTTAAGAAATTTAAACTCTCTGACGTTACCTCGTACATTATGTACAGAAAAAGTGTTAGAAATTTCAAAGAATCTGTGCAGTAGTTTTAGAATTAAAACCGTGAGTTGTGGGGAAAACGCTTTGAAACGTTTGTAAGAACAAAAAAACAAAAAAACCTTAACTTCAGCTGCATAGAAGCTAAAATACCCTTCACAAGTGGATTTTTTATGGCATAAAAAAGTATAAAGAGATCTTTATTCTGATTTAGGTCAATTAGTTTGAAAGGCAGCTATAAGCTATAGTGGTCCGATCTGAACAACATATTCAGATATTGTAGCGATGTCTTTGTTAATAATCTAAACCAAATTTCATGAATATACCTTGACAAATAAAAGAGTTAGGTATGCGTGTGCAAAAATCCAAAATCCGATATCTCAAAAACAGAGGGACTAGTTCGCGTATATACAGACGTGAAGACAGACCGACATGACAAAATTAACTCAGTTCGTCAAAAAATTTCTTTGTTTAGAATCTACAGATACACCCTAATGTATATACTATATAGGGTTTCTAACATTTCCTTCTAGGTGTCAAAGTTAAAGTGCATATAATTTAATTAATTTACAATAAACTTTTTAAATTTTTGCTCTTTCAGGTAAGAGTTATGACTTTTGAGATAAAGTCTTCAAAAAGCTACGTACATATGTTTATTTGGTAAATGGTCTTTAATTTATAAAGCACTTAATAGCAGTTATCTCATATTAGTATCGAGGTATGGTTCTAACGCTAATCCTAGAGGATAAGGCGAATATCCGTTTATAATCAAACGTTGTTTAGAAGCGATTATTTATTGTGAAAAACATAATTTAAACTAACTAAATTAAGGAAAAGCTAAGTTCGGGTGTAACCGAACAGTTTATACTCTTGCAACTTACAAGGATGAAAACTCGTGTAATACCTTCAGTTGTTGGCAAAACTTTATATTGAATAAGTAATGAAGAGCTAAGTTAGGGTGTGACTGAACATTTTATAGTCTTGCAACTTGCAAGGAACAAAGGCGGAAGAAAAATTTCAGCCTTATATCAAACTAAGGAAAGTATCGCCGTGATTTCATTCATTTCAGGAAAAATTCATCTAGAGTTCTTACATATTGACCGATAGATGTGGTATAAAGTGAAGCGGAGGTTCGAAAATATTTATGTTAGGTACTACATATATGGAGGATAAGGGAAGTGTTGATCTGCTTTTACCAATTTTTGACACATTTTTAATGCGATTTCAACAACTTTTGGAAGTAAGACGAAATACGAGGTGTGTTCAAAGGAAAAGGTGAATTTTAATTTTTCGCGGGCTGTGTACATTCGATTATCGATATTTAGTTTTGTTATAAACGGACACATATGTTTATCATATGTTTGTATTACAAGCCAATTTTGATTAGTAGTTTGTTTTTCAACAGAAAAGGTAAGTCACATTTTTGTGAGCTCTTCGCTTTTTGAAAAATACACTGGTATGAGTAAAACACGCTCTTTCATTTTCATGCAGATTCCTTGAAGTTTTAAATATTTGGTTGACTTAGTCCCGCATATATTAGGGATATTATTTGAGGTACCTTAATTAAACTAAGAGATCGTCTTTATCTGTGGTAATGGCAATACCAAATATAAGATTTTCAAGCTTCTCATTGGCTTCATACCGTATGCATACATATATCGGTCAATATGTAAGACATCTGAACAAAATTAACTGAACGGATAATATTGGACATATAGTTTCATGCTAAAAATATGTGATATTGGTTTACCAACTACCAAAACCGAATTTCGTCATTCTAACAACCCTATGCTGAAAATATCGGTCAGAGTATAAGTTATATATTTATAGAATTACTTAATTTAAGGAATTTCCTCGGATTTGATCCTTGCCAGTTGCAAGAGTATGAAATGTTCGGATAGACCCGAACTTAGCCCTTCTTTACTTGTTTAAATTGAATATATACCATTTTTTCAGAATATTCCATCCCCCCAGTGGTCGCTGCATGGAAATTTTAAGCAATCAGCCCTGTATGCACTTCTATACCGCGCACAACATGCCCGACTTGGAGGTTAGTATTTTAATGATTCTAACCACATTAGCCATTCCCTTCATCATTCCCACTAAATTGCTAACCTACCCCTCATACCACATCCTACACATTGATATACATTGTAATGACAAATACTAAAGAAGAAAAGGGGTAAAAAGAAAGGTAACACGCAACCCATGATCATCGGGAAGGGGCGCAGTATGTACGAGAAGCACGGGTCGTTCTGTATGGAAACGCACTGGTTCCCGGACGCTGTGAATCACGTAAGCATTTATATATATATATAATTATGTGCTAATCGTTATGAGAAAAATACCTTTTATGAAAATTTTCAGGACAATTTCCCCTCCGTTATACTGAGCCCCGGCGAGACTTACCAACACGTTTGTATATTTAGACTTGGCGTTTATGACCCGAATTGCGAACGGCATGGCAACTAGTTAAGCGACTAAGTGACAGATAAGGGACGGAGAGCAGTGCTGCTCATCAGGCCTCACCCTAACACGGCTACAGGACAGTACTCGCACACTTCCACATACAACATATACATAAGTATATGTGTACAAAACTAGTAGTATTTTCATATAGTACAGATATGTATATTCAAATTATTGCTGAAGTATATGAAAACTATTCGTCCAAAATTCATTTGTAAATTAAAGAAGTAATAAATAACAAATTATTCATCTAGAAGTAAACTTTTTTTACCGTGAACAGCGCATATTAAATTTGCCACAACGTTTGTAACAGCCAAGAAGAAACGTCCAAGACCCTAAAAAGTATATACATACATATGTATATAAATGATCAGCGTGACGAGCTGAGTCTATTTGCCATGTCCGTCTGTCTATCTATATGTATATACGCGACTTAGACCCTAAGCTTTTAACCATATTGCTTCGAAATTTTGCACCCGTTCTATACTTCTTTTTGTTAAAGTTAACATTTCGGTGAAATAGGAGATAGTATCTATTTAAAATAGTAAACCTATGATCAATAACATAAGTTAATAAGATACCAAATAATAATCAAATAATAAAAAATTCTTTCGCAACATTTTTATATTTTCGCAACATGTTGCAACAGAGTATAGTTTTGTTCACCAAAGGGTTGTTTGCATCACCTAAAGCTAATCGAGATAGATATAGATTTCTATATACATATATTTCTTCTAATATTTGGTGATAATCAGTGGTTAGGTATATTTTTTCAGCCATCATGTTGAACTTATTTTAAAATATACCAGACAACAATGCTAAAAAAGTTTCTTAGAGTGCTGGACTTTGTATAGAGCAAAAAAATCTTTCTAGAAAAAATTGCATGAAATAAATATTAGTAATGTAGTATCAAAAAGGCTAAAGACCCTTTTTATGTGGTTATAGATAAACTGCGACCCCATCGGTTTACATGCTACTGTCTATTATTTCAGTTTTGCGACACATTTTAATACGAAAGTTATGAGGTGAACTCTAAACTCAAGAAAATTACATTTTTACCTAGCGCCGTTGGCAGCTTATGAAAGGTATAGATATTACGACATAAAGAAGAAAATCTACATACCTGCTCTACATATGTGTATACCATACTTAATTATATGTAAGTTATTGTTAATTTAGCCTTCATGGGTAGACCCTTCAAAATAGGTACCATAGATCCCCCTGTTTTAGAAAGCGTTTAACAAAAGCAATTTACGAGAACTTAATTTCAATACAATGAAATAAACTACTAATTTCTAAAATATAAATATAACTATAAATTATGTAATATTATTATGTTAGTGAATAGCTAAGTAATATATAGGTATACAAAAGTACGTAAGCTGTACCAACATGTTGCAAGAGTATAATAAATATCAGTACACTGTGTTTGTAGTTTTAGTTTCACTAGATGACTTTACCAGCAAAGTGCTTTATTCAAACTAATTTTAGTGTATTAATTATAAAGTGTTTAAAGTATTATAATATACAGTGACGAGCAAAACCGTATTATATATAGTGGCGAGCAAACACATATACATATCTGGAAAAAGGAGTCATAGCAAGGACTTACAAGGAATTACAGTGAAATAGAGCAGCACCTAGGATCCAACTTTTAACACCCGGACGGACTGAATTATATAAGTATTTTATAAATGAATCCATGTATTATTAATTAATTATGCCTAGATTAAGTAGAAAATCTATATTACTAAGTCGTCTTCAGAATAGAAGACGTATGAGAGTTCTTCGTGCAAACTCTTTATATAGAGATAGTGAGCAATTACAAAATACTGTAAGTCACGCTAATCGTAGATTAGATTCCGATGTACGTTTGTTCGAACAAATTATCAATACAAATCAACATAGGACCAGGCGGGAAAATCTCGAGGTACGGTCTTTTGAACAAAATTTAAATACTGTACAACATAGAACAAGGCGGCAAGATCCGCAAATTCGCTCTGAAGAGCAAATAAGAGATACTCGAGGTCATAGGTCTCGGCGTGAAGACCCCGAGGTTCGATCTGTTGAGCAAGTTGCAAATACTGTTCAACATAGAACAAGGCGGCAAGATCCGCAAATTCGCTCTGAAGAGCAAATAAGAAATACTCGAGGTCATAGGTCTCGGCGTGAAGATCCCGAGGTTCGATCTGTTGAGCAAGTTGCAAATACTGTTCAACATAGAACAAGGCGGCAAGATCCTCAAATTCGATCTGAAGAGTAAATAAGAAATACTCGAGGTCATAGATCTCGTCGAGAAAATCCTGAGGTACGTTATGATGAACAAAGTAGGAACACTAGGGATCATAGAGAACTTCGCGCAAGAAATCCTGAGTATAGGAATTTAGAGCGCATTCGTGATCAAATGCAAAGGGAACATGCAAGAAGACATCCTGAAGTAAAGTGAGAGGAGCGTGATAGAGAAACACAACGTCGACAGCTTAGTAGAAGGGGTATGAGGGAAGAAATTTTGAATCAGAGATGTTTTAGACAAAGTCAAGTTCGCCTTCGTAGAAATAACCCGCTCAATAGGCAAATTGAAAACCAAAGGCAGTCCAACGAATCCGATCAACGAGAGAAAATAATATTATTGAAACTGATAATAGTGCCAATTTAACAGATTTCAAAAACATTTATTTCCAAAATATAAATAAGGGCCCTACTGAAATGTGTATTTGCTGTGGCGGATTATGGTTTTCACACCAAGTTCGCAAATTAAATTTCGAAACTATTGCGCAAGGTCACCCAAATGCTGCATCCGTCTTCTATTCAATGCAAAAATTTCCTTCGGAAGATGGAAATTACAATTTTTGTGCTACTTGCAAAAATGCAATTGTCAAAAAGAACGTTCCAAAAATATGTTTAACTAACGGTCTAGACTTTCCTGAAATACCGGATTGTTTGAAAGATTTAACCCCAATTGAAGAACGTCTCATAATGTCTAGATTGCCTTTTATGACAATCCGTCCGTTAGGATATCAAGGTCAGAGTTTGCTCAAAGGTGCTGTTGTTAATATCCCAATTTCTGCTAATATTGTGGCATCGCTACCAAGGTCCTTTGATGAGGCTCATGTGATACAAATTCACTTAAGAAGGCGTTTGGAAAACAATCATGATTACATGATCGATACCATACGCCCCGCAAAGATTATGGAAGCTTTGCAATTCTTAGTGAATACTCTTCTGTATCGTGAGCACAATATACATATTAATGAGAACTGGATTTCAGAATTTAATAACCAAGAAGAAGTTCTGTTTGTTGCATCTGCAGAGGATTTCCGATTGGTTTAATCTTTTAATGCGGCACAAACTTTTCATGATAATCCCTCAGGTAATAATATCCCCACGGATCTTTTACCTTCAGAGCTAAATCCAGGCGGTCAAGAAACTCTTTTGAACAATATTCCTGTAGAAAACTTAGACTATAACCATTTAGTTATAGCGCCAGGTGAAGGACAAAGACCAATTGACATAATTCAAGATAATAATTCAGAAGAGTTGTCATTTGGAACAATATACGTTGGGCAGAAGCGTACATGCTCTGAAACGTATAGCAAGATAATACGTTCTGAAATTCGCCGTTTTGACAGAAGAGCGTGTGTACCATTCCAAAGTTGTTCTATGATTACAAAAAATTAGAACTGCTACAAATTAAGAATAGTACATCCATTTGCCTTAGAAAGTTTTCAGGTCGCAACCGAGTTACGGCCCAAAATCTATTAAACGAAAACTTTGTTCAAAACTTGATTCAACACGATGATGCTTACAAGGTTTTGAAAGGCGTTAGATCCTCACCTGCGCACTGGGAAGCTGAGAAGAAAAAGGCAATCGCTATGATTCGCCAATTTGGGTTTCCAACCTTCTTTATCACTTTATCGGCTGCAGAATCTCAGTGGGTCGAGCTTTAGTTCATCCTCTCTAAAACTGTTGATTCTAAAGATATTTCAGAAGAGGAAGCCACTAGTTTAACAACCCAAGATAGATATCGCTTAATTCGGTCAGACGCGGTTACTTGTGCTAGATATTTTGACTACCGCTATCGACAAATTCTTAAGCTTTTTAAAGATAACGCCGGCATTATTGGAGAGCATTTTGTCACAAATTTCTACTGGAGAGTGGAGTTTCAACAGAGAGGTTCCCCGCATGTACACGGCATGTATTGGTTTAATAATGCTCCCAGGATCAACCTTCAAGACCCTCAGATATTCACTGATGTCATTAGTTTTATTGACAATTATATTTCTATAGATGGTTCGGTCAGCCACTTAGAAAATTATTTGGATTATCAAAAGCATAACCACAGTCGGTCTTGTACTAGGGAAATAAGAGGACAACAGTTTTGTCGTTTTGGTATACCATATCCACCAATGTTTTCAACGCAAATACTGTTACCTCTTACAGAAACAAGTCAAAATTCAGAAAGACACAAGGAAAACTTTTTCAAAATTCAAAACGTTTTAAATTCAAATATGACTACAGAAGACATTTCTAATTTAAACGATTTTGAACATTTCTTGTCTGATAGTAGAATAAATATGTTTTTTTGATGACTATTTGTTAGCCCTTAGATCAAGTTTAACAAACCCAAAATTTTCAAAAAAAAAATTACAGGATCGTTTTATAAACGCTTATAATCCTCTGATTTTGGAACTCCATAGAGCAAATATGGATATCCAATATATACTGGATGCATATGCTTGCTGCTCATATAGGTATAATTAATTATATAAACAAGTCTAACAGGGGAATTTCTAGGCTCTTAAATGAAGCTATTACAGAGGTAAATGCTGGAAATTATACTATTAAGCAAAAACTTAAACATATAGGTCACAAATTTATATCAGGCACAGAAATATCTGCACAAGAAGCAGTATATTGCTGGATTGGGCTCCATCTTTCGGAAGCAAGTAATGCAGAAATATTTATAAATACCTCTCGACCTGAGAAACGTGTTCGAATGGTAAAACCTAGAGCGGATCTTCAGAACCTTTCTTCAGGTTCAACTGAAATTTCCGTTGCCGGTATTTTAGACCGCTATGTTCAAAGATCCGATCAGTTAGAAACTCTTTGTTTATCTGATTTTGCTTCCAGGTATAAATATTTTAAATCTAGTAGAAGAGCACAAGACAGTGACCATGAAAAGAGAAGAGAAGACGATAATTTACCAGAAAGCGGGTTGTCATGCCTTTTAAAGACGGTAGTGTTT